TTTTTTTTTTTTTTTTTTTTTTTTTTTTTTTTTTTTTTTTTTTTTTTTTTTTTTTTTTTTTTTTTTGTTACGTAGAAAGAAAATAGAATGATAACGACAATATCGCGTCAAAAGTTTCACTGCTTACATTTGAGATCATTTAAGAAATTCGTGGGAAAAACTGTGTGTAGCTTTTTAAAAACGGTGTTCAAAAATGAAACATAAAAATTGGTGCATAACGTTGCAATCGGAGATGAATATGCTTTTTTTCGCGTGCACCTGTCGTCTTTTGAATGCATTCATCTCCTAAATAACTTGAACGTGGTAGTTCTACTATTTTTTACGTGTAGTTCTTCTCATTGGTTGGAGGCCGCGTAGCGGCCACAGGTCTCTAGTAATTATATAAATCCATTATTAAATTCGGCACGGTTTAAAATAGAAAAATTTTCCCAGGTGAATAATTATCTGAAACTTAAAGTGACGGAAAAAATTATCGTCACACGGGGGCCTCCCGCGGAAAATTTGGAAAAATTGAGTTGTTTCGGAAGCACTTTTGAACTATTCTCGCCGAAAAATTGATCCAGTAACGAGTTCCAAGATGAAAAATTTGTCAAGTGCATACTTAAAAAAATCCTTTGCATGTTTTGGGAGGTGCCAGGAACTGGAAAATTTCGGGGGAGGGGTTAGGCCGCCCGGCCTCCCGTAGTTTTGCACTCACGCCGGCCGCTCCCTTTTTTTGTCAATGGACAACAAACAACGCCGTTGCTTAAAATTTGAATGAGTTATTCTTCATTTAGAGATGAAAATTCAGGAAAGTTTTAAGAGATGAAATCCAGTGTTTCTTGATGGAAGAAAAAAAACAAGCTGTATGCATGGCATGCAGGGAGTCTGCAGCGTTATGTAAATATCGTTTGTCAAGAATTTTACCTATCAATATTTCTGGTGTTATTTTCGATCTTCCATTACAGTGCTTTAGGTAGGTACATCTACACCTAAGTTTGATCATGATAAAGATGCGATGTGAGACACATCTCGATAATATTTCCACTTAGTTGCCAGTCACATACTTTATGGCCTTGTCTCCACGGGACGTTTTCATGGGATTTGTCCCAAGTTCGAATCACAGGAATAATGAAACTTCTGGGATTTTTCCCAGTTACCGTCTCCACGGGACGAGGCTCATACGGTCCTGCGACTAGTTTGCGCGGGAAGATAAATTAGATAAAGTCGAGTATTTAACCGGGATTAAAATAATAATTGCACTCAATTGACTATTAGACACATTATTTTAACTAAAGAAACATGAACAATGGAGTAATCAACAAAATATCGCATAATTCGTTTACACTTCTTCTTCTTCTCTCAGTGGGTCCTAAGGGTAAAAGGACCATACTTGGTACTGGGAAAAATATTGATTAACTCAATATTTTTCCCAACTTGGTAAGTGGGATTTTTCCCTGGGACAAATCTCGTGAAACAGCCCGTGGAGACAAGGCCTTATTAGTCACGACAACATTGTTGCAACGTTGCCACACAGTATTATATGCGCAGCAACCTTTTGCAATGTTGATTGCGTTTACGAAACTCTCAAATCACATACCTCGATTGCGCTGTTTCAAAATCTCAGCTCCCATTTTATTTTCGTGTAGGAAAACGAATCGACATCATTACACAAATTTTCACAGGATATTCTTCAAAGAGAGAGGAAAATTCAGGGGAAGTTTTAAAAAAATGACGTTCAATATTCTTCAGCTGAAAACAAATTATGGCGAGAGGTTTGCAACGTTGAAAGCCGCGGCACATGGTTTGAGAGTTTCACCGTAAGTTGGTTTGATGGGTGTAAGAATTACACTTCAACGACCACGTATGTATTATTTGGCTATTGGAGAAAACTAGGACACCGCTACAAACGACTATTCGCGCATGTTGTGACGAACTCTACATGGAGTCATAGAGAGAGAAAAAGAGGTGTTTGCATCTTGAGGTTTGTTTACCCTGTGACGTAGGTCGGTACAACCTGGCCAGCGAAATTCGGAATTAGAAGTATGAAAAACGGACCATAATGTCTGATTTTTTTGCTAAAATCAACTTGATATAATTTCAAGCACTTTCTATAGTATGACTTTTTCCATAAATTACACCATTTCCAAGAAAATCGATGATAAAACTCGTTGTACCGACCTACGTCATCAAAAAAAATCCAAGATGCCCGAAATGCAAACACCTCCTTTTTTTCTCTATGCTATGGGGCGCCTTCATTTGTTCCATACGCAACACGGAGTGCCACAATCTGTGTCAGTCATTTTGCGACCAAACAGAGCCCACGATATAGTTGATGACAAGGCGTTCAGACCAAAAGTCTTTCATTCATAAAATATTGCCTCATTTTTATCTCGCTAATATATTCTCTACATTCTACGATAAAATTATTCCTCAGGTTTCTTTTGAAAAAAATGGGGCAACAGTAATACTTTTGACTTGACGAAAATGGAGGTACACTTGTTTCTTCACTTTCACTATCTGTACGTATAAATTGCTGGTCATCACAGAAATTATTAATTCTTAATACGCGGGGAGTTAAGCGCGGGAAGCGCAATAAGTAGGTAGGTATATGGTTGCTTATTCAAATACTTACGAGGTCCAAATCAATGTTGATGCATGGTTCGACGGGCAGAATTGTGATCGGGACTTTTGCTTGAGTAATAACTGCGTTAGCACTCGTTGGATCCGTTAGGAAATTAAACTCTGCACTTTTTTCATTTTTGCCTGCGATACAATCCAAAATAGGTATATTAAAATGTCAACAACTAGTGTAGAAACTGAACATGAAGCAGATGGGATTTATCTACTTACATTGGAACATCTGAGAAACGTTGTACATGGAAACGTTGTCATATTGTACATTGCTTTTGGCGTATACACATTTTTTCCAGGTTCTAAACAGTTAGGTAGAGTTTATTTGCATAATAAGGCTTAATGACAATTGTCGAGGGGATAATAGCGACGGTCCTCAGTGATATCAGATGGATTTACTGTGTATTGATTAAAAATATTACGTGGTTTAATTTTTTTTTCTTTTCTTCTTTTTTATTTTTTGTTAAGTACATGGCCAAAAATTCACTGGGGAGGAAATCCAAAGTAAAATAATAAAAAATATTCATTTAGTGCGTGATCAGTAGAGTCCTGTTAGGGGTTTCCTCGGGGAGGGCGAGGGAGAATTTTACCTCAGAATTTGAGGGTTGACCATTTTTTTGACATTTTCGTTTAATTACTCTGGGACAGTTTTCGAAACTTTTTGAAGTTTAACCCCCTTCGTATCCGTGAGTAAGTATCAAAACATCATGCAAATTATTTTCAATGAAAACATACCAGGGTCGTTACCGCCCATAATGAGGATCTCCTTGAGATTGGAGGCAATATCCGGGTACAGTTTCATTGCCTCTGCGATGTTTGTCAAGGGCGCAAGACCAACTAAGGAAATTTCTCCTAAAAAAGAGGAAATTAGCGGGCTTTAATTTAAAAATTACACTTTGCAACAGGATGTTTCACATTCCATTCTGTAAATAAATGTCTATTCTATAAATAAATCGCTGCCTTATCTTGAACAAAGGCGAATTTATTTACGTATGCATCCCCTGAAACTAGGACTGGGCATGTTACTTGAATTTTGAGTAATCAAGATAGTTTTGCTCAAATCTTTCGGAAAAACATTCAGATGACCAAAATAGACGAAACTAGATGGGCAAGAGGAGGCTAATTGACTCTCCTAGAAATCTACTAGACTAGAACTTTTTCAGAAAATGTAAGGAATTTTGCAAAATAAGTGCGTAACATTTTTGCCATCTTCAAAATGGTTCTGAGTCTATTTTCTGGCAAGAAGAGTTGAATATTGCTTCATAGCAGTTCTTCAGAGAGGCTCCCCGGTCATCCTTTGGTGATGTGTCTCTCTGCTTGCTCCCCCCCCCCCCTAAAACACAATCTCATGAGGCACCTCTTTGGCCCCCAAGAAAAATGTCTAGTTTTGCCCATGTCTCAAAGTTCCCTAGGTAGTATTTTTAAAACAATTTAATTTTTTTCCTCTCTCAAGTCCCGACGGTAAGGGCTGTTTTAAGCTGAGAAGAGTTGGTACCTGGATTCTCTCTCGTGAGGCGGGCCAATGCTTCAGGTCCGCTGGTTGGTTTGACTTGACTCATGTCTGGTTGCCAATCCCATTCGAGATCCCCGAACCCATCCTTGCCAAAAAATCCCGGGAAGCTCTTTTGGTCGTCTTCCTTCTTTTTCACGCCGCGGTATACTGGGATCTGTCGTGACCATCAATGAAGCAGAGAAAGAAACGGAGCAATCAATAACACGAACCGAACAAAAAAAAGTGATAAGAATGAGTTGTATTGTCTAAGCAGAATTAACGGCAGGGCTGCCCCTGAAGTAAACGCACAGAACTTGTAGAAAATTTGGACCGAGTTGAATAGAGGAGGAACCAAGTCAAAATCAGCATTGAAGTAAGAGGAAGAGGTCCAAAATTTAATTCATCTACACTGCAAAAAAAAACACATTGGATCTAGAGTCCAGATTCTTAAAAACATCGACAAGAAAAAGTACTCTTGATTCAATCAGAATCTAGGTTAAATCAAGAACCAAGCCTCTTAATTTAAGCGGATTTCGTTTTGATTCAAGCAAAAATCAGATTGAATCAAGAGCATTTTTTCTTGTCAATGTTTTCAAGAGTCTGGAATCTAGATCCAATGGTTTTTTTTTTCTTTTTTTTTTCCAGTGAGATGTGCGGCCGGCCAAACTCAGAATTGGACCGCGTTATACAGAACGGAACCAAGCCACATCAGCAATTGCCAGATTTAATTGGGCAAATTAATTTTTAACATGATTACGGTTGTGCGGATTTTCGTGCAAATTTCAGTAAAAATTCTCCATGGTACGAAGCAAATTCCTTAAAATTTTCAAAGAAATCCGAACAAACGTTCTCTCGTAAAAAATTTAATTGCCCAGTTAAACTTGGCAACATCTGATGCGGCTTGGTTCCTTCCTGTTAAACTCGGTCCAATTACGCCTGACTCCTCACTAATAGAAGAAGGTACCCGTAGCGTCTTCAACTCATTGTCAGTGATTATGCAGCGCGGACATCCCTTGAGCACGAAGAGTTGCATCATAGCGTTATTCAATCCTTTTCATCAGGAGGAGACCGCTCTAATCTAATTTCCCCCCATAAATAATCATTTTCCGACTTTCCAGAGGAATTTTTGTAGGAACGCCTCTCCTCCGCTCCCTAGGAGGATGAAAAAAAAAACCCATGCACCATTGGGCTGATCATTGAAACTAATGTCATCACGACAAGAATAAAAAATTGGCATTTATTACAAGGAACAGGTGTCTTGTCTTATCTTGCTGACCTATCAAGACATAGCTTCAAAAATCGGCCTATAGATAAATTAGAGTCAAAAGAGAAGGGTGAAAATAAGAGTGTTTCGGGGAAAAAGAGATTGATTGGTTTTGAAATGACCGGCTCCACTCTGTCGTTGATAACTGTCGCGCCTAAAAATCAAGCATCAGCAAACGGCAGTAATTGCTCCTGCGGAGAGAGGCTGTCCCATTTTCCATAGGAAATGGCCGCAAGAGATTTTACATCCGTACTTTCAGGAATCTTAACGGATCATCGGCGAGGCCTAAATTCGGTGACCTTTCCCGTCAAGCCCTCCAAGGGGCGAGGGGGGAGGGGGTCAAAGGTCGAACGCACAGACCGCCATAACTTTTGAACGAAACAACGGATCAACTTGATCTTGGACTCAAACGAAAGCTCTCAAGGAGACCTTTCATTTTATATATATAAAAGTCTGTTTTTGGTAATTTTTCGATGTGAAAAAAATCCATCTTTTGGAGAAAGCTTTCATAGAAAAACTCGGAAAACTGATTTTTTTGGGCTTGAGAAATCAAACAATGACTTTTTTCACATTGAAAAATTATCAAAAACAGACTTTAATATAGGTCTCGTTGAGAGCTTTCATTTGAGCCCAAGGTCAATTTGATTCGTTGTTTCGTTCAAAAGTTAATGGCGGTCCGTGCGTTTGACCTTTGACCCCCTCCCCTTTGGAAGGCTATAGACGGGAAAGGTCATCGGATTTAGGCCTCTCCGATGATCCGTTATAATTCCTAAAAGTATGGATGTAAAATCTCTTGCGACCATTTCCTACGGAAAATGGGACAGCCTCTTTCTAAACCAATTTAATTTGTTAGTTTTAATCTAAATGCCTACTTCGAAATTTTGTTAAAAACGCAAAACAAAATGAGCCATGGTCAATCCCAATAGACCGTATTCGATAACGGTTCGATGTATCGTTTGGTTCAAAACAATAGCACATAACCTCAAACCAAACTGTAAGGATTTAAGTTGGAAAAGCTGAAAATGAGAAAATTCCTAACAATTTCACTTTAAATTGGCATTAGGTACGCACAAGAATAAAAAATCTGTTACAAAAGACCCGTTCTCTCAGATTTCTGAATTTACTTTTGAGGCTATGTTTATATTTTGAACCAATCGATATCGATACAATCTCAGCCGTTTGATGTATCGAATACGATCTATGCCAAAGACATAAAGACGGAGTGCTCGTATCTAAAAGCACGGGGAAAAAGTGAAGCTAGGTTCGGCGCTGCGCGTTTGTGTGAGTGTGTAAATGAGCGCGGGAATCCATGGCGGCAAACGGAAATTTGATTTGAACTTGTCCTCTTGATTTTTCCTTATTTCTTCTTCGAAACGTGTTTTAAATGCTTAAAACGATTATATTAAGAAAGTTTGGTCTGCGTCCTAATATATTACACCTACTTTTGCTCGGTAACAGGCAGTAATCTCAGATAAAGTTAGTTTTTCTTCTGCTTATGGTGGTTCTGCAGGTTCAAACAGGCCATTACAGTTCTAGATCTACGTTATTCCCAAATGAAATCAGTCGATCGACGACGGACCGAAACTAACCTAAAGTTAATAAAATATGAGTGTGTACCTGAATTTGGGCAAAAATCAACCTAAAATACTTTGTTTCCGCAATTTTATTTATTAGTTCCCGCCCTACATTTGAATTCAAACTTGTCCCGATTTCGCCGCCAATCCTCTAGCCAATAGTAGAGGTGATTGAAAAGAAGCTCTAGAAGCTTCATTTTTTGCTTTTAGTGCTCCGTCTTTATGTCTTTGATCTATGCTCACAATTTGGAGAGGTACAGGTTATTGGCGTTTCGCGCTCTCCCTATTCAACAGCTCAGCTGTTTTATACCGACGTTAAAATCTACGTTTGTTCATTAAAACCGCGGAATAATGGTCTTTGGCCTCAAAATTCTTGTTGATTTTTAAATTGAAGTCAATTTCTTGAAATTTTTGTTACTTATCCATTTGGTGATCCGCCTTGTAAACTCCGGGTATGTAAATTTAAACATACCTTTTCATCGTAATTTAGGGTTCATTGTCAGGAAACGATCTAGAGGTTATGCAATTGACTAAGTTCCATATTACACATCTGACAATAAGTACACTAGGACCATGAGTTCATTTTCGGGTTATTTTTTGATATGAAAGGAAATCACTCCCTTAAAAAAATACTAGATTAATTAAGTAGGCATGGTCATAACATGGGCTTTTTTAGCTGCGAATAATAGCTACAACCTTGTTTTATTGAACGCTGCTAAGTCACGCACTCCATTGTCCACGAACTGCAGTATTGTCAATTTATATGATGTTTCTTGAAAAAAAAAAAAAAAAAAAAAAAAAAAAAAAAAATCATTGCAAATTGCCAAGATTTCTCTCACGTAACATTTAACTTCGATCATTTAGAATCGGCATTTATTGACCGAAATAATGATGTGATAATATTGCAATTTAAAGGTCAAAAGTGGCAACTTCAATGCAAAAAGTATTTCAATACTCTGCTTCTTGGGGCATAATTTCCCTTCATCTAAACAAATTCCGGATCGGATAAAAAAAAACTGAAATTTTCCCGATGATTATGGCCTAAGACTAGCTTGGATGAAAGAAGTCAATTTCATATGTTGCTGCCAATTGGTACTTTGTATTGATACTCATTTCATTTCCCAGGTTCATACAAACCGTACTAAAACGAAAACAAAAATGCCCGGCATTACATGTGCTCAATTGGACGTATTTCTGTTAAACTGAACTAAGCGCCAAATTGAGTTCCTTTAGAGGATTTTAGAATCCCGGATAGCGCGTTCTGTCAAACGGAACTAAGCGCCATGGAAAGACATTGCGATTATAGGACGGAAAGAGCATCGCGTTCCGCAAGACCCGCCAATTCAAGCCCCCCGCTTCCTTCATCCCCCGGTGGCGCTTAGTTCCGTTTGATAGAAATATACGTCCAATTGAGATGATGTGATAATGTATAGTGTAAGATTATTATTATTTCCGATCTTGAATCTTCAGCGGCAAAACGAGTATCTGGTAGAATGAGCCGTTCGTTGGATTGTCGGATGAAACTATGTCCATCATTTTTCTCCTGGGAATATGGCTCTTGACGCAACTCCTCGAGGCAAAGGCTAACCGGAGGCCATCTTCGTCTTCAAATGCTGCCTCATCGTTAGGGGGCTCCGGTGAGTCAAAAAGGGATTCTTTTGGGGTTTTTTTCCTGGTCTGGGTGATCTGGATTTACTCATGTGGGTATATTCTACGGGCATTCAAGCTTTATTAAAGGTTCTTACATTCTAACAAAATCAAAATAATTTCAGAATTTTAGAGCCGTTCATTAAATACGAATAGCTAACAATTGGATTTTTTTACTCCCCTTATCTCCTGTTACACACGACCGGTGAACCCTTCTGCACCACTCTGCCGTCCTCCTGTGGTGTAGTGGTCTTAGCGCTTGCTCTATGATCGGGAGGTCCCGGGTTTGATTCCCAGCCAGGTGACCCGAGTTTGATGGTCTCAAACAACGGTTACCTGGGGCTGGCTTGATTAGGGACGGAGGGGGGGGGGACGGGGCTCTCGGTAAAGCGCAGGATTATATCCCTCGTCGGATATTTGAAGTGAAAAAAGAAGATCTCTAGGTCTGCTCACCCCTAGGTCTACATCCCTTGAAACAAACTTACGCATCTCTTTGTCGACCTCACCCCCTTTAATTCATGATTTTCATGCCTTCTTTATGGAAAATTGACACCTCTAAGTGCCACATCCGATTTTGGCGTTACACGTACGCACCCAAAACGCCTACGTTTATGGAGGAAAGGGCCTTAAACCTATTTAAGGCTCTTTCCTCCACAGAGCGCGACCAACGCCTTTTTTGAGACATCCTTTTCAAGAGCATTCCATTTTTTAACATACGTAAAATAAAGGGATTTCAAGAATACCTATTTTAAGGTTTTATATTAAAAATTCTTCAAGTATTTTTAAGACTGTATAAAAATGCATTTAAAAGCCCTCATAGAGAATGCTTCAAACTGAGAGGTTACCGTTTTTATACCCCTCTCCGCCCTTTTGCGCGCGTACGTATTTTATTGACTGCCCCTGGTCCGGGATATATTTCCTCTGAAAACTACTTTCTTTGATTTTTCAAGATACTTTTCTGAAAAGCAGCCAGAGCGAGACGAAGGAGGACTGTGACGCTCGCGACCTGCTCATCTGGCTTCTGCTCCTGACGATCGGCACCGTCCTAGTCATCGCGGCCACCACCTTCCTCTGCCTCGCCTGGCGTCGCATCAGAAAGAACACCTGCTGCCTCAAACAGAAGATCACCTACATGGAGATGGAGACCATCCTCCGCCTACCCGAGTTCACCCACTGCGACGACGAGTGAGCTACGGAAAAAACATCTTCATCGGCCTAAGACCCCCGAAGGTAAGATAGCTCTCGATTGGTCCTATTTATACCCGCAAGTGTTTTCAATTCGATAAGGGAATCGCAGGCAGGCCCGCCACAAGGGGAGGGATACTGGGTCCCTGGTACCGGGGCCCGTGTTACCCGTGAAAAACCACTACGAATCCACATGCAACCCTTGTTTCGTAAGAAAAAAAGAAAAATTTACCCTAAAAATTTCGCAAAAGGTGAATAGATTTTCAGAAACACGCTGGGGCACGGTGGAATTCTTCTAAAATTTTCAAAGAAGTATACATCTTGGAAAATTTGAATCTATTTTCAAGATTTTCAGTACAGAGGGATATTTTTAGTAACTGCGTTTCATTTTCTTCCGTCGTCAGATACTAAGAGTCTCCAGTCTGGGCATCCTCGACTTCAATGACTCATGGCTCATGGCTCAACTTCCTTGCCATAGACAAACGAAGGGGGAGTCCAGGGGGGCCTGGCCCTCATAGAACAGAAAATAGTATCATATGCCCCCCCCCCCAAAAAAAAAAATAAAAATTTTCCAGATGTTTTGAATGCAACAATTCGCAAGTATTTTGTGCTGAAAGTAGAATAAAAAAAATATAATTATTCCGCAGAAATTGATGGAAAAATTCTTTATGGAAGCTTCACAATGCGTCCGATTAGTCGTATAAATTCTAAAATTTCTCAGGGGATGCCCCTCGGACCCCCCCCCCTCCGTGCTTGGGGCCCGGACCTTAAAACTGGTACCAGGGCTCGAGATGGGATGTGGCGAGCCTGCATGAAGGCTATTTCCATTTAAATCTTCCGTCACATTCATACGGCGCAATGATACAACTATTTGAACTCTCCGGAATGCGTGGGTGAGGTATCACGCCGCATTTGAAGGCGTTTTCAAAACAGCTTAGTTCGGATACCCGGATTATCGTTTTGCAGACTTCATATTCTTTTGTTATATTCCGTACCATTCGTTTATTTTTAATCCTCGTAGAGAAACCACCCACTTGCAAATACAATTCTAGCTGGAGCGCACTTCAGCTATGCATTCATGACTGCGAAAATGTTAACGGAAATCGAAAAGGCCAGCGTGCATGAAGGCTATTTCAATTGTAATCTTCCTTTGCATTTCTAAGGCGCAATGGGAACTCTCCGGGATGCGTGAGGTATCACGCCGCATTTGAAGGCCTTTTCAAACCAGCCAAGTTCCGATTTATGAATAATCGTTTTGCATAGTTCATATTATTTTGTTTTCATTTCTAACCACTTGTTTATTTATAATCCTCCTATAAAAATTACCCATTTGCTATATACAATTCTAGCTGTAGCGCACTTCAGCTACGCATTCACCACTGCAAAAATGTCAAAGGAAATCGACAAGCCCAGCGTGCATGAAGGCAGGCCCGCCACAAGGGGGGATACTGGGTCCCTAGTACCGGGGCCCGGGCCCCGGAGGGGGCCCGTGTTACCCGTGAAAAATTTACCCTAAAAATTTCGCAAAAGGTGAATAGATTTTCAGAAACACGCTGGGGCACTGTAGAATTCCTCTTAAATTTTCAAAAAAGTATACTTCTTGGAAAATTTGTATCTATTTTCAAGATTTTCAGTACAGAGGGATATTTTTAGTAACTGCGTTTCATTTTCTTCCGTCGTCAGATGCTAAGAGTCACCAGTCTGGGCATCCTCGACTTCAATGGTTCATGGCTCAACTCCCTTGCCATAGACAAACGAAGGGGCAGTCCAGGGGGGCCTGGCCCTCATAGAACAGAAAATAGTATCATATGCCCCCCCCCCCCCNCAATTCGCAAGTATTTTGTGCTGAAAGTAGAAAAAAAAAACATAATTATTCCGCAGAAATTGATGGAAAAATTCTTTATGGAAGCTTCACAATGCGTCCGATTAGTGGTATAATTTCTAAAATTTCTCCGGGGATGCCCCTCGGACCCCCTCCCCCCTCCGTGCTTGGGGCCCGGCCCTTAAAACTGGTACCTGGGCCCGAGATGGGATGTGGCGGGCCTGATCGTAGGATTATGGACATTTGCAAAGAATGTCCGAGGAGAGGTTGACCAAACAAGGTTTGAATTTGGGTAGCATCTGGAAAAAGGCAACGAGGTCCTCCCTAGAAGGGATGCTGGTGGGGCGTTGAACTATGAAACTTCTATGTAATATGTGTGAATCGTGGGAACTAGGAATTTTTTCTAGGGTGTGGGCGGAGTGCCTCGCCGCTGGGCCTTCCCCCTGGGAAAATGTGACGGATGTCGCTCAAGCAGTGCGAGACACACATTTCATCTTTAATGATATATTTCAATCAACTTATCGGCAAAAAACAACTCAAATTTGCCTCTGAGTGTCAATGTTTCATAATTAATTGTTCCGGGAAAACCCCAGGACCCCCTAATGAAGTTGAGGGAGTCTCTTTCAACCTTCACTGGTAGTAAGTAATTCTGTGCCCTCCTCCCCTCCCCCGATTTCCCTTGATAAGATGACCCTCTGCTTTCCTACGAAAAAAGCCTGGTTGTGCCCATGGATTGGCTTATGCGAAGAAATTGCATATTTAAGAGGGTTCTTCTTTTCTTCAAAGTTGGAGCGTATAGGTAATGAGGACGGGGGTCGTTGATGTTGCAGAGACCTCGGGGCGGGGATGGGTGGCGATGAGGGTCGGGGCTCGTTCGAGCTGGTGTTCTCGCAGGACAAGACGTTGAACGCGCGGTACCTGGGCAGCGGGACGGCCGGCGTGGGCGAGTGTCGGCTTGGCTACGTCCCGGCCTGGCTGGTGGTCTGCACGGTCACCCTCTTCCTCATCGTCTTGGCCGTTTTCCTCCTGGGCATCTCCGCCATGCGTCTCGTCATGGCCCAGGATTGCCTCAAGCAGAAGGTCAAGCACATCGACATGGAGAACCTTATGGCCCTCCCCAAGTCCGCCCAGGATGAGGAGTGCATCGGCTGTCATTGACGCTCACGCTCGCTGGCATCGCCATCGGTGAGCCCACTCCGTACCAACATCACAAACTCATCCCTCTTAAGTGCTGCATACACCTGAGAGCTAGACGCGCGTCAAGACGCGCTTATTCGGCCGTCTTCGGGAATCTCCATAGCCAATCAGGTTCCAGCTCACCGCCCGAAGCTCGCTCAAAGTACACTGAGAAACAACTATGGTTATAATTACCATATTAGTGGTGTTCAATATGCTCTTAATTGGATAGCATTTTGCAATTCGGAGCTATAGGCAGTACGGTAGGTTTTCAGGAGAGCAACTTTTGCAAAAACCATTGGCGTTTTTCCTCAAAATGATCAATGTTGCGGTTTGATGGTTCAGTTTATAGCTATGGAGTTTCTTTAACACCCTGTATTGACAGATTCTTCGAAAACATCACACTGTTGCCAAAAATTACAAAAAAGGCTATAAGTTCCTTATTGCAAAATGAAGAATCCAGGAAAGCTCATTTTGCAATTAGGAACTATAAATTGTTTTAGCACTGACCGCATAGGGGAGACGACCCTGGTACCCTGGTTTCACCATTACACACTGGAGGGTTAACCCCAACAGAGAAAACACCCCTTCCTCCCATCATACCTGGAAAGGGGGAGAAGCATTGTCCCTGCGGAAAGATATTCTACCAAAAACAGGGTGTACGTGGTGAATCTTGGTACCAGGGAGTATCTAGGGACGGGAAACTCGAATTTTTGGTTTAATTTAAAAAAAAATCGAAAATCCAAGATGGTGGATGTGGCCGAAAATGACCTTACTCAGGGGATCTTTCATTCCTCGGAGACACGCGTTTAAAGGGGAGCTTAGGAGACGCAACCTCAAACTTGTTTTTCGTGGATTGAAATTCGAAAAATATCGGCGAAAATCCTTGTGGATTGTAAGAAGTAAATACTTCGAAAAATGCAAAAATCAAAAATCACTGAACAAGCTCATTGTCAAAATTTGAAAAAAATTATTTTCGAAATTCGGCTACGAATTTGAGTTTCCCGTCCAAAGATACCCCCTCGAAACAAAAATCAGCAAGATCGATCGAACAGGAGCCGAGATGGCATTTTAGGCCACATCCGCCATCTTTGATTTTTAAATTTTCGAAATTTGACCAGAAATTCGAGTTTCCTATCGAAAAATACCGCATGGTACCAAAAATTAGCAAGATCGATCGAACAGGAGCCGAGAATGCCGAGATAGCATTTTGCCGTCCTGCCTATTGTTCCGAATTGCTAAATGGGGAATCCGAGTTTCGCATTACGCAATAGGGAACCATAGCATAGGTCCCAATTGCAAAATGAACCTCGCATGATCCTGCGACGGCAAATTTTTGCGGGGTTGCTGAAGCGGGATAAGAATCGTTTTTGAGGATTTTCTTTTTCTCGATAGTAAGTAAATACCCTCCTGATACGGAATTCATCATAAAAAAAAAAAAAAAAAAATCGAAAATTTGACCCTAGTTCCTTATTGCATAAAGCTATCCAATTAGTAGTGGCCGTAATCAATAATAGTGATATTTTTACCGGAGCAATCGTAATTTTACAAGTGTGCGGTAGTAAAATTACCTTTTAATGGTAAAAATATCTCTATTATTAGTTATGGCAACTACTAATTAAGAGTTCATATTGAACACCACTAATATGGTAATTATAACCATAATTTTTTCTCAGTGTAGGATCGGATCCTAATTTTCGCGTCTAGACGCGCGTCTAGCCAGCAGGTGTATTCGGCGCTTTAGAGACAGTATATTTTTTGAGAGCTCTCGTCAACAACCTGAGCAATATAATCGGCTGATGCTGATGATAAGTTCGGAGGTCAGCGCTATTTTTCGCCTAATTGTAGTCAAAAAGCAACTTGTTGAACATAAAATCGAATAAAATTCACCTAATTATGACTGGTGGATGTCGGACCGAGTCAAATCGGGTTCAGGATTGCTAAACCAAATGCTAAACTCTTTTGGTCATCAGTCATCATTTGGCAGATCTGACAAGACTTCCGCGAGTTGCTTCTACAACACAAGGAAAATAGCAAGGCAGGATCCCTAAAATATATTGGCTCTGACCTCTGCCAATGACGCCAGAGATTATAAACCCATCCTCGTCGTCACTATATGGTAAACTAGGAGGTCGCTCTCATTTTTTCGTATCACTTCAAAACTCTCACTATTTGAGAATCGACAGACCTTTTCTCGCTGCTCTCAAAACCCGATGTCGGCCTAACCGGAGCGGAGATGCCGTACCTTAGTTAGGCTCAGGAGGCGACATTAATCCCGAAAAGATATCTCATTTCGAAGCGAGGAAGACTACTTACATTCTTCCCGATGCAATAATACCACCTGATCCCTAAACCCGTTGTCTGAAGAAAGTAGAGTCAAGGGACTACCTATGTACCCACCGGAATTGCTCAACATCTCCGGCTGCATCATCTCTGATTGCGCGCGGAAGTTACAGCATCACGTAGATATGTATTTGAACCGCGTTTAACAGAAAGGAACCAAGCCACATCAACTTTTGCCAATTTTAATTGGGCAATTTAATTTTTTACGAGAATACGTTTGTGCGGATCCTTTTGGAAATATCAAGGAATTTGCTTCGTACTGTGGAGAAAATTCATCGAAATTTGCACGAAAATCCTCACAACTATTTTCATGTAAAAAACTACGAGTAAATTAGCCAATTAAATTTGGCAAAAGCTAATGTGGCTTGGTTCCGTTCTGTTTAACGCGGTCCATTTATAAGAGGTAAGTATTCGGCATTTGCGGTTACATCTGCTGATCGCCGGAAACACTCTCTCATTGCACGCGAAAATTATACAGCGTCAAAAGGAATATGTACCGGAAGTATCAAAAACATGGGTTCCATTTATTAGGTAGATATAAGTATATAGGCAATTTTAAATAGATACGAAGAAAAGGTGCTAATTATAAATGCTAGTAAAAGAAACCCCTTCAATTCATAGCTAGGCAACATGCACATTACTCCGATGCGGTGAAAATAATTTCAACACTTTTACTTAATCGCAGTCCATTGCAATCTGAGCCTTTAGGGCGGAGAGCACATTCTCGGCTTTGAGTTCAAGCCCCAGATTCCGATTGATCAGTTTTCATTGGTTTTCTTCTTCTTTGTAGAACTGATGTATATCCAGATTAGCTTCGGTCTCCAGTGAGGAAACTTTCAGGCCCTCTTTTCGTCACATTAGTCCAGATTCCCCTTAGAGCCGATTTCTCTCAAATATAGAGATGACTCAAGTTGGCGCAGTTGATTTAGGGCCGGCGGTAGATTTGGCGTCGAACCTTTGGGCAGCGTTGCCGCCGAAGATATTCGATGAGGACATTACTCCGATGCAGGCTCGGACTAAAGGGGATGTCACGGACAATTCCTGGGACCAGCCTCAAAGAGGGGATTCGGAATATGAACTCAAATCCAAAAAGAAATACAACAACAACGCTAGGTCAGTACAGCAACAGGTTGATTTTTTCCTGCGGAGTGTGAGGTTCCAACGAGTGATGGGGATTTTCAGTTTAATGGAACGTATTTAACGAGTGGCGTGGCGTGAATGATCGATTATCGACATTTCTCCATTTGAAGCTATGGTGAAGAATCGATGATTAAGGTGTTCGTTGCGAGCGCCCTGTTTATCGATCCTTTTCCATAGGTTTAAATGGCAGATCAATCGAAGTATCGCAAAGCACGTCACGCTACTGGAATTAACCAGAGTCAGCAGAATTAATCAGACGTTGCCTGACTTCCTTCCGTGTTTTATTCCGTCCACAGAGAATTTATCAAGTTTAGACTTGAAATTTTGTGTGTTTACTTTGTACAACGACGGCGATACTCCAAAACCACGTATCCCGTTTGCGGTGCGTTTTAAGATCTCTGCTCCACTTTTAGAATTTTTGATAAGGACAAAACGACAAGAATTTTTTATGAGAGGAATTTCACATAATTTTCCTCGTTACATACGCGGAAGAAAATCACGGAAGTTTCGAAACATCGGCAGTAGGTTGTTTTCCATCGAAAAAATAAACTATGACAGGAAGTCTGCGACGTCACGAAACGAGATACGAGGTCTGGTAGTTTCACCGTTAATAAGCCTAGGGAAATGCACAAAAATTTTCAAGGCTCTATGCTGATTAGTTCTCTGTTAAAAAATGAAATTTGAGAAAAAATCGCAAGCAACGTTAAACGTTGCAATGTAGACGCATATTTGCTGACTTTAACCATGGATATCTTTCATGTCTCTTTGATATCGACGTGACGGGAAAAGTGTGCAACCACGAATCTCCGTCGGCAACGTTGCAGACTTTCTGTCTATACTTTATGTTTTCCTTAGAGAACTAGTCAACGAAATATCTTGAAAACTTCCTTCATTATTTTTTCATCTCTGCCAGCACAATATTCTATTTTGACGGTGTAAGTCAGCAATCACATAACTCGGTTTGCGACGTCGCAGACTTCCTATCATACTTTATTTTTTAAACCGAAAACTACTCAAGGGCAATTGTTTAAACCTGCCGTGATTTTTCTTCTCTGTGCGAAGAAAATTCTGCATAAACTTCAGGGAATGATGTCCATTTGTTCTCCTTTAAAAAAATAACATATAGAGAGGCGGAGAATTTCAGACTCCGCAAAAGAGAGTGTGTGACACTTTGTGATTGCGGACTTACGCCGTCAATATAGAATTCAAGCTATTAAGTGACTTGTTTCACTTCAAAAAATAGCACGTATCTTCGCCTGCAACATTGCAGACGTACGGGACGTTCATGTATTCTTCGGAAAACTAGTCAACGCAATATCTTAAAAACTTCCTTTATTTTTTCATCTCTGTCAGCACAATATTCAATATACCTAGAATTCAAGGTATTAAGTGGCTTGTTTCCTTCAAAAAAATAAAATAGGGGCGAAAATTTAGAAACACCGCAATTAAGATACGTGGTATGTTAAAACGATACATTAATTTTTCATGCCTCCAATCCTGCTTTCCATGACTACATCGATAGTTAAGAAATCGAATCTTGCTGTTGCAGCAAAAAGAAACCGTTCGAGGGCAAAGCGTCGTTGATCTACTACTGGTTCCTGGGCCTCTTGGCGGTGCACATCATGCTGGCGGTCACCCTCTCCGTTCTCGCCGTCCGCTTCTTCAGGGTGCATGCCGTGAACCGGGTGCTGGGCGACCGTGCCACCTACTTGCAAAACCACCCCAAAGCGCCCATCGATGACGTCATCCACCACTCGGAGAGTGATGTCAGAGCTGAGTCCCGCACCAAACTCGGTCGAACGGAAAAAGAAAAGGAAACAGGGGAAAAAGCGAGGAAAGCTACGCCCAAAGCGAAGGAGCGGAGGAGGGAACCGGGTGGAGACCGCAGACAATTCGGAAGAGACTCGTCTGACGAACCGGATGACTCCGGCTGAACTGGATTCGGGTTCAAGCTGATGCGCATTGCTTTCATCCTTTCACCCTCGAGGTCTTGAGGACCGGGTTCGAACCTCACCCAGGGGCTTCTATGGATAAACAGAGGGGTAATGCTTATTTTATTCCTGGTTTTTTTTTAAAATTAATTTTAAACCCATGACACCTTGTCACCCTGCAACAGCTATGATCACGGTAGGTCGTGAATCCACTCACTATTTTTGCCGATAACGGTACGCAAATTGCACATTTTGGCACCCCTGCCACATGCGAAAGATATTAAATAATCAATGATGTACAATTTTCACATACTGCCAAGTAAATTAAATGAGATGATTCAAAGGGAAGTCAAGTGTGACCCTGCCGATAAAGTCAGATGAGTGATTGCCGCATGTATAGTCTCCATTTTATTCATATATACTCATTATTAATTTACTCACTTCTTTTTTTCATTCGATTAAATACTTAAACCACCCTATCTTCGTTTAGCGCGACGACGCGTAAATGCAATAAGTGGCTCTTTACTTCATCAAAAGCTGTTAAAATTGAAGGCGCTCAGAGTTTTTCAATGGTTAGGTCCATATGCAAAAGGCCGTGTTAGGCCGCGTTGCATACAAAAAAATTACAGGCGCTTTGACTTTCCTTAGCACAACGAATGGCAGCGGATGCTGGTTCTCGAGGGTTTTCTATGTTGCATGTACAACCGGGTTTAAGTACCTTGAAATCCTCGCAATTCGAATGAGCCGTGAAGCACTATTACAATATTGACAAATGGTACGTATTACCCACCAAAAACATTTCCACAAATATGAAAGAGCAGATTTCAATCCTGCATATTACTGCTGATAAAATGTCGCAATTTGCATAATTTTACAACGCTGTGATGGTAATACACGAATCATTCCAATGTCGAAGATTTCACGGTAAACCCGGTTGTAAATGCAACGTCGAAAACCCAAGAGGACTTAACTTCCCTATCAATGTGAGTTATTTTTATGATAATTTTTGTTAAAATTAATCAGACTAAAATTTATATTATTCGTTTATATTCATAATATTGATAGTATTGATCCGTTGTCATTATTTTGCCAGGCTTAGGAAAGTCAAAGCGCCTGTAATTTTTTGTGTATGCAACACGGTCATCCCGAGAACACAAATAGTTGCATATGAACCTAACCATTGAAAAACCCGAAGCGCCTTCAATTTTAACATATTTTGATCAAATAAAGAGTCCCTTATTCCATTTACACGCCGCGTCGTCGTTGCACAAAGATAGGTTGATTTAAGTCTTTAATGGACTTAAAAAAAGTGAGTAAATTAATAATGAGTATATATGAATAAAATGGTGACTATGCATGCGGCAATCACTCTTCTGACTTCATCTGCAGGGTCACACTGGACTTTTCTTTGAATTGTCTTATTTAATTTACTTGGCAGTATGTAAAAATTGTACATTATTGATTATTTAATATCTTTCGTATGTGGCAGGGGTGCGAGGATTTCAAGGTACTTAAACCCGGTTGTAAATGCAACATAGAAAACCCTCGAGAACCAGCATCCGCTGCCATTCGATGTGCTAAGGAAAGTCAAAGCGCCTGTAATTTTTTGTATGCAACACGGCCTACGGCCTTTTGCATATGGACCTAACCATTGAAAAACTCGGAGCGCCTTCAATTTTAACAGCTTTTGATAAAGTAAAGAGCCACTTATTGCATTTACACGTCGTCGCTAAACAAAGATAGGGTGGTTCAAGTATTTAATCGAATGAAAAAAAGGAGTGAGTAAATTAATAAATGAGTATCTATACTACATATAAGCTCTCAAGCCTCCTAATTTTGCGAAACTGGTAACGCTTAGTTCCAGCGTTCTACCGGGCCGATTTTTATGATTTTTGCGGCTATCGACGGGCAATTGTCTCTAGATAAGCCAACTCTTTTCAGATTTTCAAAATATGGCCTAGGTTTTTTTATATTAAGTGGTAAAGTTGCGATTTCTCCCATTTAAACAATGTAAATTTATATTTTTTGTCATAGTTCGTTTGAGCGTTCTACCGGGCCGATTTCTAAGTTTTTTGCGGTAATCGACGGGTAATTGGCCCTAGATGAGCCCGCTCTATTCAGATTTTGGAAATAGGACCCAGGTTTTTTTACAATCACGTTATAAAAGTGAGTGAATTTTCAGAATGCTCCGAGACTGCTACCGCTATGCGCGGGAGGATGCGCAGTGGTCGAGGAGGTTGCGCAGTAGCTGTGTAGCCTGCGCATCAGCTCTACACTTATCTACACAAGATTCGCCCCGTCTACCTCAGGTAGAGCGGTGGCCGAGTCATCAAAGACGTCGGAAACGTCCACCTTAAACATGGTGTGGGTTCGATCCCCGTCTCCCGAAACTCTAAATTATTACCTGATTATCAATGTTCGTTGTTTTACTGCAACATTTCATCAAGTAGTCATTCCAAAACGCGTCCTTTAGACTTCAAAAAAATAATTTTGTTTCTTTATTCATCAAAACCAAAAATTATTTCATTCTAAAAGTAAAGTATACCTTATATCGTAATTTTTTAGGGGAAAAATAAAACTAACACCTATAGGAGGGTAAAAATAGGGCCGCGAAGCGGCCCATTGATGGCGCGGAGCGCCTTCAGGGGGTTGGGCCGCGTAGCGGCCAGGGGGCGTAGCCCCCTAGTATATGAATAAAATGGAGACTTTACATGCAGCAATCACTCTCCTGACTTTATCTGGAACTACACACTTGACCTTCTTCTGAATCCTCTCATTTAATTTACTTGGAAATATGTAAAAATTGTATATTATTAATTATATTTATTATCCTTCGTATGTGGAAGCGGTATCAAAGAGTGCAATTTGCGTAAGTACCGTTATCTGTGAAAACAAGTGGAATCACGACCTGCCGTGATCATTTTGCTGTTTTCAGGGTGACAAGTTATCAAGGATTTAAAAATTCCCTGAATTTTCGGATACTTTGGACAAACAAATCTCAAACTTTTCTCTGGTTTTTTAGTGTTTTCTTTTTTTCTTCTTCTTTCTGCATAATTTATAATTGAAATTTCCTAGTTAAAATTCTATGCGCGCAGTATCTGAAAAGTGGAAAAATGTAATGTCTTAGCTGGAGAAAAAGATTTTAAGATGAAGTGCATGGAGAAACAGTAAAACGCAAATTCCTTGGCTACCTATTCCCAACAGATCAGGGTTGGATGAAACTCCTCGAGCAAACGATATTTAGTGATTGGTAATCTCTTTCTTTTCTTTTTTGCAGAAACCGAACCAAATATCGTTTGTCATCTATTTTTTGTCAGAAATTGTTCTCACTTAGGTAGGTATTCCTACCAACATCTATAATTCTTATCAAAACTTTTCTAAGTAAACAATCCCGTGAGATCAGAAGTTTGTACAGAATGTAAATAATGCAATCAGAAATTTCGTCACTTCGTGTTTGAATGATTGGTCTCAAGTAGATAACACATGTAAATAAAGTCTGTTCTAATGCGCGGAGACAATTTAAATATTTCTAGCCACTCGAAAGCGGAACACGTGGTAAATACATGAATTTTCAAGACAAAATTTAGATGTATTTTCTTTGAAACTAGCTCGCGTAAAGGTAACCTGGTTAAGTTTTGCAATGAGTGCATAATAGAATGCGAAGCTTCGACACGTATTCGCCTATGAGGAAAATATGAGGGGAAAAGGATCAATTTTGGCTGGAAGAGACCATTTCTTTCTCTTCTTGCTGTGGAATTTCCCTTTTCTCAATCTGAGAGTTTCTTGGAGCTTTTGTGTGTCTACCTGCGACCAAAAAAGTTAAATTCACGGTAAGAGTTTTTCTACAAATTTCCCTAGGTTTCCGCACGGTCCATTGGTTTTACAAAGTTTATACGGAGAGAGACTATTAAAGCATGTTTTTCAAATGGAGAACTATTCGCGCTATCTGTGCGTTTGCTGCCTGTGAAGCAAAATTGAAGGCAAATTTCAGATAGAGGACACCTCCTTACAAATACATAAGCAACATCGTTTATCTGCATAGAGTACATAGAGTCGTATTGTAAATAGGAAAGCTGGCGCCATGTTCTGCTTGACGAGTTCCGAGCCCGGTGTGCGCCGAGCTCGGGTCACTTTTTCGATACACGTTCGATCCAAAATGGCGGTGTGGAATACGTGGCAATTCCTATCTTCTTTGCTTACATCAGATGACCGGGTACCTGTGTATCGCAAACAATCGATCATGTATCGAAAAAGTGACCCGGCGTCACACAGGGGTCTCGGAATTCGGGACATAGAAAATGTTCAAAAGTGTCGCCAGCCCTCCCACTTACATTACGACTCTATGTACTCTATATGTTTATCTGCCCATGCATATCAAGCGATAAATGTTTGCTTTCGAATCGACGAAGACTGTTCGCGCTCCCAGTTATGTTTGTTGCCTATGCGGTGAAATTGAAGGCGAACTTCAGATGGTCGTAATTACAAATAGATGAAAAACATCGTTTATAGGCTCAATCAAATTTATGGAGCAACTTAAATGTGTCTTTTTCAAATAGATAGCTACCCGAACTCCTCTTTTTTGTTGCCTATGAGGCAAAATTGAAAGTGAATCTCAAGAGGGTGATTAACTAGAATGAGCCTGGCTGTAAGAGACATATTTCCTATTTTCCCTATCGTTTCATTTTCTGAGCAGAAGAATAAGCTACACTAAAAATTTAAATTTTAAGTGTATTTTCTTCATTATCCACGGTAAATTCACAAAAATTTTCAAGGCGTTGAATGATTTAATTCTCTGTTAAAAAGATAAAACGCGAGGAAAAATTTGGCAACGTCTAATACAGTTGGGCTGAGCCTGTATTAAACCCGTCAAAAGGGTGTACGACTACTCTTAGAGATGATCCCAGGATTTTCAAAAAGGAGACGGGACCAATATCATGGTTTTTATCACAGAATATTTCTTTCATAGAAAAGAAAAACCAGCCAAGTCTTGAGTGCTTTTCAAGCAGGAGTATGATATATATGACGGGAAGTCTGCACCGCCGCAAACTGTGAAACGCATTTCTGCAGTTTCAGCATTGAAATGCCATTACGATGAGTGTGTAAAAAGAGCGTCAAAGTCATTCCATGCCAAATCAAACCAAAAGACCTGATCCCTCCGACTTAAATGAAATTTGGTACACTTATTCTGTTTACTGAGCTGATTCCAAAAGTGTAATTTTTTAAGTTTTTGTCCTCTCGCTGAACTTCGATTGAGATTTGGAGTAAAATGATGGAGGTCGGCACCTCAATTCCCTGTAATTTTGGAACCGTTCGTGTTACACAAAAGTGGAACTCAACTTCGGATTTTTTTCAAAAAAGGGAAAACAGTGTAAATCTGAAATATTTCGAAAACGAGCGCAAGGAATCTTACAAAAATTGTCTCCAACCCAGTGAGCACGCATACTTGGATTGGATTTTGCAAAAAGGAACCAGGAGCATTGTCATATTGCTTAGATTGTGTAACTTCACCTTTGCCATAAAACTACTATTATAATCATGCAAAAATATGACATTTACATGGACATTTTTGTCTTAAATTTACAGTTTTTAGCATGTAAAATAGAAAATGTTTATATATGATCAGATTTTCTTGCAGGACGGAAAAAGTTACACAATCCTAGCAACGTTGCAATGCTCTTGGTTGCTTTTTGCAAAATGCAATCCACTTTATCTACACGCTTGCCAAAAACCAAAGTAAAGACGTGATGGAGTCAAAAGTTACGGCAAAAAAAGCTGCGGTTTTTTTTGCTGCGTTAACGAACGCGGCTGAGCCCCGGCTTTCTAAAAATCAGGTCAAATTTTAAGTTTGATTTGGGATGGAAAGACCCTTCTGTAAGTACTTACATCGTGAGCATGAGCCATTTGAAGGAGCCTGCAAGTGTTTTTGGAGACGTTGTTGATATCGGTGTTGCCCTCGGCGGCGACGACGGCCAAGATGCGGACGAGGCCGAGGCGTTGGGCCCGGAGGAGGGCCAGCAGGGCCCACGCGTCATCAACCCCCGCGTCCACGTCCACCACCAACAACCTCGGCGCGACTCCCATCGTCACGACACTTCCGAACAACTCAACACAAGACACCCACGACACAAGTGCAATTGCCGAGAAACGCATCTAACTCACGATCCGTGTCTTCCTTGAGTCGCACTCGCTCACCAAGTGGCTTAACTGAAGATCTATCGAGTCAATATATATGAGGAATTTGTCGGGATTGAGCAACTATGGCAAGGAAGAACGCCGTTTGAGCCTTCAGACGTTGCCAAGTTTCCCTCGATAAAAACTGAATTTACTGGAAAAATTGTGAATATTATTCCCCAAAATTTTTAGACAATTTTGTACGCACTTTAATCTGAAACATCTAAAAATTTCAAAGGAAAATGTGCAAGAATGTCGACAATAGGACATATTTTATCAAGGGCAATTTGGCAACTCTCCAATGTTCATGCGGCGTTTTTCCTCAGCACGGCAGTATATTTGAGGGGCTAGGATGACAAGGCGCATAAGTGCAGATTTTGAAAAAAATGAGATATTAATGATTTCAAGTACATCTAGTCTTAATGCATATTCTGTGGAAAATTCGCTCCCAAATTCCAATTTTTAAGCACCAAAAAGTCAGTTTGAACTTTCTTTCCGCCGTAAGGATCCATGTAATTTCGAAACTACAAACACGTACTCCTAGAAATAGCAAAAACTGCACTTATGCGCCTCGTCCTCCAAGCCCCTCATTTGAAGCCTTTGGTATAGGACGAGCCACTTGAAAAATTATGAATTACGGGGCAGGGCACCCCTCCGGCGCCTCACCCCTTGAGGGATGGCCAAATGAAAATAGGCTTAAAATATGCCCTCCTTAAAGTAAGCGAACACATTTTTCAGCTGTTTTTTTTTTAAACTCAAAAGCGTTCACGATCTCGAGTTCTTTAAAAAAGTGAGAGTTCTTTCAAAGTGTGGCTCGTTTTTTCTGAGACACCCTGTGGAAACTCCGCACTCGGCTCCGAGTAAGTGTTTTAAACATTGCGAGGCAAACATTTACGACGATCAACTCTTTGGATTGCAAAATGTCCTCACTTTGCGTTGAGTTTTCAGGGATTTTGAATGAAATAATCTCTACCACTTCCCTGATTTTTCACTATTTAATTGATTATATGCAATTGATTTTTTCTTTTTTTCGGAGGGGCGGGGGGGATGATTTCGCTATCAAATTATTTTCATAAAAATGTTGGACGCTAAGTAATAAGTCTCTTGAAATATTAAAAAAAACTGCAATTTTTCAAGTGGACAACCACAAGATTCCACAGCAAAATTCCCTGACTTTTCTAATTCTTTATTTCCTTTTAAGAGTCTTTATCACCCTGCGAATCTATATGATGCTCAGTATTTTAAGGAAGTAAGTTTGTCATTGTCGCGACAGAGTTGTCTAATTTTGCCGGATACACTGCTCGTCAAAAGATATAACTCTGCCGAAAATGTCGATGATTGGATCGTCAATTTTAACCGGATGAACCGCACGCCGTTTGATACAGAAGACGTCCGTTTTCTCAGCCAGCTGAAAACTGCATCGATGACAGCTTTCACTTTAAACTTTAGACAAATTTTTAATGTGATGGATGAGCAAATTGCTGAGCATTTTATTGGCTGTCACTGGACGTGTTCAAAGTCGCCCCTTTCACAGCTCCTATATCGACGGGGAAACTGCCAGAATCAGGCTGCTCACTCCTCATGGTGGTTATGATCGATTTTACATGGGTGACGTCACTTTGTGATCATTTTTTGAAACGAGTACACCTATAGATTACAAAGGATAATATCCAAAAGTAATAACATCAACTCTGACTTGCTAAGGAAGAACGCCGTATGATCATTCGAGAGTTGCCAAATTTCCCTCAGTAAAATATTTATTTTTGAGGAAAGGTATGCATATTTTTGCTTGAAATTTTCAGAGACTTTAGGTGAACATACGAACAAAATTATCTGAAAAATCGGAAGGAAAATATTTATAAGTTTACCAGGATAATCGTGTTTTATCAAAGGAAATTTGGCAACGCCTGGAGGTTCATACGACGTTCTTCCTTAGCACGGCAGGACTCTTCCGGTGCCTGATGGAAATGTATGTCGATACCTGTTAAATCAATACCCTCCAATATAGTGGGTCTGAACGAGTCTGCCTCCATTAAAACCTGCGAAATACATTCAGATATCTCAGTTCCTCCTCGCGTGGTTTATTTTTAGACCGAAATTCTGCGAGCACAACACTGCCGGCGGAATTCCAACCCATGGGATTTTTTCGTACCTACATTTCCAACATGAAAGAATTTAGATTAGCTTTCGCTATAAACAACTTTGCTGACAATTCTATTAAAAATAATTTTGACAGAGGAGTTGCTGAAAACGTCACAATGCACTTACAGGGGCTCAAAATGAAGTTGAGGCTTCATTCAATGTCAGTCTAATGACTTGTGACAGCCAAAAAATATTAGAGCAAAATGTGATATTCAGGAAGTGCTTCTAAAAGCACGAAAATGATCCGAAAATTATCCGTCGAAACCTTGAAAATTGAATAGAGTGCATTTCTGATGACAAACTTGAAATATTCTACTTCGTCACACTTAATTGTGCATCGATCAAACACGGTTATTTCATGATGAAATGAATTTATGTTACAAAAATGTGATGAAAGAACGAAATATTTAAAAAAAAAAAAAACCCTAAAATAGTTTAATTTCAAAAGCAGGAACCGTTTCCTGGATTTGACAAATTATTCCTCATACCTACATAATAAAGACAAATACTGTGCATGAACTTTTCGAATAAGAGCGAAAAGTTTTTGCTATTTATCACATGTGTGAGTTTAGTAGTATACTAGTGGTATCAAAGGAGACATTTGAAAAAACGTGCATATGATCCGCTAAGTTACGTAATATGTTCCATAATCACACACAGCGGCAATTTTCGTTATCACCACAATTCGTTAAAGTCTTCTCTCTTAAAAATTGCCCGCGCCCCGTCTTTCAAATCACGTACAGAAATTGTATTTCATTGTGTTGTACTGTATTGTATTGTTTTCATTGTATTTCGTTGGACATTTTAAAAAAGCGGACGAACGCTAATTATACCCACGTAAAAAAAATATAATGTAAAAATCGGTTTACATCGAGAACGGGAGAAACACTGACACGTCACAAGAATTCCACCGGTGAACGACCGATGAGAGACCCGATGAAACCGCGGCACCGAAACTATTCGCTCTGCGATTGACTTGGAGCTCGCTTGGTAGAAATGAAGAGACTGGCGCGGATTGACAGTGATTCGAGAGTCGAGAGTGTTGAGCTTGCTGATTAAGATATTGTTGAGTGACTCATGAACAATGAAAAAAAAAAAAAATTGAACGCGAAACTACGCGAAGCTCGTGAGCCCACCCGGGGAAAATAATCGCAGAATTCTCACGACGCGACGGGAGTGACCGCTTGCAATTTAATTTATCACGCTCGGGGCATATACCTTTTTAATTTCAGAAAACGCCCTTGGAGTAAGATTCGAAAAAGCGACATTCTTTCGGATGAAATATGAATTTTCTTGTATATTGATGGGTATTTTTTTTTTTTTTTTTCGAAAATTGAATAATGTCTGCAATTTCATCTGAAAGAATTTGAAAATTTTGAGAAAAATTTGGAAGTTTTGTTTTGTTTGCTAAAATAAATAGTTTCTCAGATGCAATGTGTTAGAATATGAATGTTTATATAAGACGCGCATTTTAAGCCTGTTAGCGTTTGGTATTCATGATGATCCGACAAAGGGTTGGGCTTCTCCCCCCCCCCCCAAAAAAAAAAAAAATAAAAATCAAGCGATCAGCGATCGCAACAACTGAAAATATGCACTGCGGCAATAGAACCAAACATTTGGCGCTTTAACTGTTTAAAGGCGTATCCACCCCCTTTCGAATGGGTAAGTAAAGAACCGAAACGTTTTAAAAAAAAAGAAGAGAAACATTTGTGACGTCTTGGAAAAGAGATCGTAAAAACGTCCAAATACTAAAAGTTTTTTTTTTTTAATTTTTTTTCAAAGCATTTGTTTTTAACGGGAGTTTACCTTGAATTTTACGAGTTTAAAGGCATGGGTGGAGCTGTATAAAAATGCTTATGAATTAAAATGCGGATGGGGCAGTGGAGCACCTTAACAAGGGGGGTCCGAACTCGGAGGCACAAAAAAAAACCCTCTGCTAGGGGGATCTACCTGCGTCTGCGGGACTATACCCTAGCTCCAGAGGAGGGTTTAGGGAAAATTCCTGGCTTAAAGGGGGTCTGGATGCCTCCCGCCTCCTCCGAAAAATTAAGTCGTCTCAGGAGCAATTTTAAGCTATTCTCGCCGAAAAATTAATCAAATTACAACTTTCAAGATAAAAAATATGTCACGCACTTATTTAGCAAAATCCCGCACATACCATAGTAGGGGACCGAGTATTGGGCCAATTTCTAGAGAAGGGGGGGGCAGGCCTTTTTTTTTATCCCGCCCATGTTTGAAAGATAGAAGAGAGGACGAAAAAACCGGGAAGACGGCTCTGACGACGCGACGATTCAAATAATTTGAGATTATTGAACCTGAGTTTTGTTTTGAACTCAAAATTTCCGAATGACCAATCTCCATGTAGTGCTACATGGATTATAAAAAAGTACGAGTTAAATGATAATCAGTTGCATTACTGAACCGATGATCATTAATAATCTGATCATAAGTCCGGGACAAATATTTCCAATCTGAGATTGAAGCTGTCAAATTGTGCTGACCGTCTCGAATGAAGAGCACGTGGCAGTCACACGGTGACAATGACTAGGTAAGCCTTGGTTGCCAGAGCATCTATAGGTCTAAAACTCGCGGATGAATCACCATCAGGGTATCTACCTACTCCTGCCTCATTACCTAAAAGCCTTCCTTTTTCATTACTTTTTTCTGCAAAGATAATGGGTTTGTTAATTTGCATCCAAGAATGACCTAGGTACAGCAGTCGTGTGAAGAGCCGCTGTTTGAGGAAAACGATGGTCACATTATAAAAGTCTCAAACCCACACCCTCGTGCGCAATTTGCATAGTTTGGAACGCACCATTTCTAAATTTCCGCTTCTCGGGGCAATCAGGGCCGGATCAAGGGCTGGCCAATGGGGCCGCGGCCCATGGTGGCAAATTTTGCAATTTTTTAAATGTATACGTATAAAAAGAAAATCGGATTCAGAAAAAAAATACAAACGAGAAAAGGCGACCAAATCACTCATTTCCTGCGAGCATAGTAATTTCTAGTTTTGTCGTCTTTCGGTGATACAAGAGAGCACTTTTAATTGGTCGAGTTAAGAGAGAAAGCAAACAATCAATTTGGCATGGAGCGGCGCGGCGCGGCGCGGCGCAGAGGGTCGCGAGGGGATTCGGCCGGTCGGATTTTTCGTGGGGATTCGGCCGGTCGGATTTTTCGTGGGGATTCGGCCGGTTTCTGATTTATTATTCAGAGTGTGGAATGTTTGGCAAAAATGCACAGAACGAACATGAATGAAACGTGGTATAAAAGAAATCAGCTATTTAACGTAGTGTACTTACATACTTGAAGTTTATAGTCCATTTACAGTTGATAGCCGGTCCAAACATTTCTTAAGGTCCTTATGTGCTCGATATATTGCAGCAAAATGTTCGTGATGCGATAATTTAGGTCCGCATATTTTTTACTCCTTTTCTTCAGCGGCATCCCGACGTTTATTTCCTGGACTTCTAGTAAAGATCGAGTGGTATCTTCTTTTAAAGTTTTTACAACATAAATTATGAGTCACGGTTCCGGGTTTGAAATAGAAGACGCAACAAGGGGGAAACCAAGGCTAATTTGTGACGGGTTTGAATATAGAATCCGCGAAAAAAACGGCGATAGAACTGTGTGGCGATGTCTGAATGATTATCATGGGAAATGCACCGGTTCTTTGTTCACAAAAGGCTCTTAAATTATCAAGTCAATTGATAATGCTCCTATGTCCGTGACCGTACAAATAATGTGGTGGAAGGCTGGAACTCCCAGTCCCAGTTGAACAAACTCGATAACAAGAAACAACCAAATTTTCATGTTGTTAAAAACTTTAAAAGAAGATGCCACTCGATTTTTACTAGAAGTCCAAGAAATAAACGTCGGGATGCCGTAGAAGAAAAGGAGTAAAAAATATGCGGACCTAAATGATCGCATCACGAACATTTTGCTGCAATATATCGAGCACAAGGACCTTAAGAAATGTTTGGACCGGCTATCAACTGTAAATGGACTGTAAACTTCAGATATGTAAGTACACTAGGTACGTTAAATAGCTGATTTCTTTTATACCACGTTTCATTCATGTTCGTTCTGTGCATTGTTGCCAAACATTCCACACTCTGAATAATAAATCAGAAACCGGCCGAATCCCCACGGAAAATCCGACCGACCGAATCCCCACCTAATCGCGCAGAGAGCAATCCTAATGACGAGGACTTGAGATGAAAAGGAGAAGCTCTCAGCGCGGCGGTCGGCATGTAACACATAGTAGCAACTACAAGACTGCATGAATACTTCACGCATTACGTCAAAAACAGCGCGGTCAGCATGAAATGCATAGCGCCTACTAGACTTCAAGAATACTTCACGCATTGCGTCAAACACAGTGAGTTCAGCAGCGGTCGGCGTGGAACGCATAGCGCCTACAAGACTGTAGGTGTAGGTCGAATACTTAACGCATTGCGAAAAACACAGTGCGGTTAGCGCGACACGGCGACGGAAGTTGAAATTATTAAACCCGATTTTAGTTTGTTCTTGCATAGGTAATGTTTACGTTCATTTCTTACAAATGGAGGGCCTTGTTCGCACAGAGATAGGTTTACGGAACTTAACTTTCGCGCAAAGTTCCGTGAACTTTTGCTAGTAGTGTTGACAGGGCTTTTGCAATAAATGTGCCCAACACGAGTAGACGCGTCTTGTGCTCCCCTCCCCCTCCGGAACGTTCACTTGGTGGTTTTGATTGATGTTTCCGAATAAATGAGAAGGAGGCGGCAAAATACAGGCGGCCCATGGGCGGCAAGAAAGTAAATCCGGCCCTGGGGGCAAGCTCCTGGTTATCGGAAACGAGCTAACGGCAATTTCAGGCTAATTAAGGTGTCATCAGTGGTTTCCGGTAAATGCCGAAAGTTACCGATCCGTTGCTCTTGTTCATTTGTTTTGTTTACAAGCAAAAACGTGATCTTAGATAGTGGTCCATGCCTTGAGTTATTAGGCTGTATGTATTTCATCAATCCGCGGGTTATGTTGATGAATATTATGTTTAGAATGTTTAGAATTGCCTGTTTACGGCGCTGGACGTTGCCATGAGTTGCCGTGGCTTGTCTCGAAATACACTGACTGTAAATTTGGAGACTGTCCCTAACCGCGAGGACTTTGAAAAAGCATGTTGAAAATTGCGCAATTTGCGCACCAAGAAGTTAATAATTAGCCTCTATATGCACCGAAAAAAATAATATGCTGTTTTAGCATCTAGGATGTCAAAAATGTGTCTGGTGATCCCAAGATGCTGCCTTTACTGCCCCCGCAGTTAATTTTACATCCTGTGAATGCAAATTCAACTGCGGGGGCAGTAAAGGCAGCATCTTGGGATCACCAGACACATTTATGACATCCTAGATGCTAAAACAGCATATTATTTTTTTCGGTGTGAGAAGGTAGGCAAAAGTGGGCTCACAGACGTTGGAATGGTGTTGAGATATTATATGCCATCGCACTAGAGACTCATATTTCATTAGTTTGACCGTCTGAAGATTGACTAGCTCTGGTCTTTCACTATGAGTAAGTACTTTTCATTCTGAAATGCTAAAAAAGTTATTAAAATAATTGACATCAAAATTTTGCAAGATTCTTAAAATCACGAAAATTGATGCTAAACATAAATAAACTACAAAACAAAAAAATAAAATTTCAAGAATAAAATTTATGTAAAATTTCAAGTATAAAAGAACCCCGCATCATCCCTATGGGAAATACCTTCCGGTCAAATCTGCTGAAACTTTGATATGTTGCTCAGCTAGTCATTCTGATCAAAAGCTCAGATGGGCCCAAAGAAATCCCATGTTCGGTTTTCGAGATATTCGCTGTTTTTTGTGCGTGAACGGAGGTCCCGCCGCCCGTGCTACTACTGCGTACAACTCGTACTTTTCTCTTCCAGTCCACTCTGGCCCCTCTCCGCTTCTCCCCCACCCGTACTTGAAGCTCGGACTCCGACGCTTACGAGGCTTCGCTCATCGTAACCGGCCCGGGTGGTCTTATCTACAAATATTTATTTATAATGTAAATATTATTTTTATTCAATACAGAGTTTTCATTTTTCTAAATAGAAAAAAAAGTTTCCCCACGAAAAAGAAGAAGAAAAAGGGGTTTTTACTTCAGATACTTGAACACTTCTTTTAAAGTTTCCCCTTTAAAATTCACAAACTTTTTAACTTCCTCTTTTCAAATAAACAATGTTACAGAAAGAAAAAAAGCTCTTGGAATACCACTGCATCAGGCGTGTATTTTACGACAATTTTGAGTCTCAATCATCTTTAAGTCCGAGCTTTCCAAGTGTCTTTAATGCTAACAGTCTTGTTCCGAAATACACCCACACCCACAAACCGGACCCTTTTCACCCTCTTTTCGCGAAAGTAGCTCGAATATCTCTCGGCTTGGCTCAAAACTTCACCTCCCGTCAACCCGCACTCCAGCTCTAAAATCACCCCCACACTTAGCTCCAGATTTGCCACCGCAAAGGCGGGCCTGCGAGGGTTTCTGTCCTCCCCGTCCCGTTCCGTCTTCAGCGAAAAGTCCCCCTCGGTAGCACGGACGGACAGTAACACATGATTCAACGCTGATCGAATCGTTGAGTCATCATCAAACCTTGGATGTATCTGTAAAAAGCGCTCTAAGATCTCCTTGAACGTGGTGGTGGTGCCCTCTTTAAACAACCTCTGGAACTCGGCGTAAATACCCCGTCGCACGTCTTCTCCAGGCTGGCTTATACATATAAGCGAATCATAGTAACGCAACAGCACGTTCGTTAGCTCAGAGGCTATCTCCTCATTGGGCAACCTGACCCGCACCTCCGGGGTTTCTTCTTCATGGACACCGAGTCGGTTAGCGTCATTATCGAGGGTGAGGTAGCCGGCGCCGAAGATGAAGCTGAAGAAGAGCTGGCCTCCGCGGTCATCAAAGGGGGTCCTTTCCGCGAGCATGTCTTTGAGCGTGGCGTATTCTGTGGCGGTGAGCGCGGGTTGGAGTGGTAGCAAGTAGCTCGAGCGGCTGATGAGGGTGAGCAGGGGTGTGTTCAGGACCTTGAATCGGAAGACGCGGTCGAAGAACCCGGCGCCGCCAGTCTCCACCCACCAGCGGCGAAGCTTCGGGAGCTTGATAAACTGTGAGATGTCCCACGGGTTACAGAATTTTCGTCTCAAGCCGGGCGCGTAGCCTGCGTAAAATCTAAACAACGAAAAGCGACGTTAATTAGGTGACAGGTGGAAATGTCCAATAAAAAATGTCCAATAAACAAAATGTCCTATTTAAAATGTCCAATAAACAAAATGTCCTATTTAAAATGTCCAATTGTCATAATGTCCACGACAAAATTTCGTAAAGCTAAAATGTCCAGAATTCAAAATGTCCTATATGCAAAATGTCCCATATGCAAAATGTCCCTTATGTCCCATAGGTCCACATATATGCAAAATCAAAATGGCTTAACATCAGCTTACGCAATGCCTCAAGCCTCTCCTTCTTCGTTTTCTTCTTCTTCAATTCTTTTGGGTTTCTTCAATCTGTAGGAAATGGCTCTCAGATAAACATCAACCGCTTCATCTTCCTTGTATTGCCCATAGCTAGCCACGATAATTTCCACTCTGGCTTGATTAATGATGTACCGGCGACTAATCGGATGTGTTATTTGAGTGTGACCACCTCAAATCTGCGTAATAAGCTGTTCTACGTCATTTTGTTCAGCTTGGATGTGCTCAATAAATCGCCAAATATTCACGTGGTGCGCTGATATTAGCCTCTGCAACAAACTGTGCCACCCTTCAACAACGTTCGTCGTTCTGTGCATTCTGTTGGTAACTGATTCATATACATTCCAGAATTCTGGTGGGAAAACCGGAGGTCTTGCCGCTCTCCCTCCCCGTGCCCGGTAACATCGAATGTATGTGTGCTCTATGTAGGAGGCCAGGTCCAGTATGTCCTCGTCTTCCATGTCCGCGACGATTTCGTCAAACACATCTGTTAAGTCGTCAAACACATCGGTTTTGGACGTTTTAAATTTTGGCCATTTCAGCTTCTGGACATTTTGTCGTGGACATTATGACAATTGGACATTTTAACCAGGACATTTTGTCTCTTGGACATTTTCCGTTGGACATTTCCACTGAGCACCGTTAATTGGAACCTTTGTGCCAGACGCTCAATTGAGGGGTTTGGAGGACGAGACGCATTGTTGCAGTTTTTGCAATTTCCAGAAATACGCGTTTGAAGTTTCGAAATTACATGGAAAGGTACTCATGACAGGAAGCAAGTTCAAACCGACTCTTTTATGCTTAAAAATTTGAATTTGGGAGCTAATTTTTCACAGAATATGCAATTTTTTCAAAAACTGCACAATATGCACCTTGTCCTCCAACTCCTTCAATTATAGCGTTAATTTCAAATTTGGACTTATAAAGAGGTAAAAAAAAACTAAAAAATTGAATGAACCTGGTAGCTTCTTTTTAACATTAAAATTGATGTAGGTAAACTTTGCGTTAAAGAACAAGTTATGAGTAAAAATTACTTTAAAATTATACAATTTTATAAGAATTGTCCACATTGAAATGTCACCAAAACTAAACTGCAAAATATACAACATATGATACGTAACGAATATGAAAGTTCTAATACAGCTTATTCAAATAGAGCCTTGTAATAAAGTAGCTAATAGAGTATGGTGGATGTACGTCTATCTAATGTAACAAAAAAGAGTTCCCTCGTTCGTGCAATTATGTTCACATATTTTTAGCTAGTGGGGTGGTGCCAACATCAGGGGTTGATTTAATGCAACCGGAACCGCTAAAATGTAATCGCTCAAACTTTGCCGGGCTAACAAAGTAATGAACCTATGCATTCGAGTGCGGATCATTCAAATAGATTTCCCTTCATTTGAGGAGATAGGGAGGCAAGACGTGCTCTCATGATTTTCGATTGTAGTACGTATCCGTGCAATTCAAATGTACCTATCGTGTTACACAATTAGAGCTTCAAGGTAGATACCTTTTCATAGAGATCATGCAACCATTTTGATGTCGTCGAACTCTTTTGCATCTTTTAAGGCGTAGGTACTATTCTTGGCTAAAATTCAGATGTTATTTTCAATTTTTGTATGTCATACTGTACCTACTATCGTGCTTTATTATGTTGTGTTATTTCAAGTATTAAAAAGTGAATGGTTTATAAACTGAGAATAAATTCTATTTATTTTTTTATCCAAATCAATCATGTTCTTTGTCATTTTAATTCCTGATTTTACTCGGTAGAGGCGTAATATGTGTCGTCCCCATTAATAAACATTACGCTTCTTACCTTTTAGCGGCTGCTGCCAGAGGAAGCGCTATTTTTGCTTCGTGAAATAACTGTGTAACATCAGTTTCTGAGAACCCGTAATGTCTGGACACCTAAATTTGCAGATGCAGAGAGAAACATAAATGGTCTGATGTTAAGTAATAGATCAGCAAAAAAACTAAGCGTACTTTATGGCGATTGAGTAAAAGCAATTTCACTTATAGTCCAGGCGCCTGGTAAGTCTACCTGGAATTTTGGGTACACAGCGATTTTTTTGGCTTACTTTATGTTTTTTGGGTCGCTGAATCCGAATCTGAAGTTTCCTACCGCGTATCTGGTGAGCAATTTCCGCCATTTTGAAAAATGGCCTAAAAAGGCCTTTTTTTGAGTTTTTTTTTTTATATAGCGGCTACGCATGAGAAAAAATCCCGGATTTAGCTAATGTTTTGAATAGCTGACAAAATTTGGAAGAAAATGGTATATGAATATGCTAGGTTTTCTCAAAAATTGAGGAACCTCGGATCTGGGAACTTTGGAACGCTTCGGAACGTAGCTGACCGCGGCGAGCCGGATCACGCGTTAACGGGTGCGCCGCGAAAACGTGAATGGGCGCGATGTTCACGGTGCTGTATCTTCCTCAATTTTTAAGCAAACCTAGCATATGTATACACCATTTTCTTCCAAATTTTGTCAGCTATTCAAAACATTAGCTAAATCCGGGATTTTTTCTCATGCGTAGCCGCTACATAAAGAAACCGCAAAAAAAGGCTTTTTTAGGCCATTTTTTTAAAATGGCGGAAAATGCTCACCAGATACGCGGTAGGAAACTTCAGATTCGCATTCAGCGACCCAAAATACATTAAGTAAACCAAAAAAATCGCTGTGTACCCAAAATTCCAGGTAGCCTCATTTTTAGCTACCAGACGCCTGGACTACTATCAGAGAACTTCTGATGGAATTGCATACGTACGATGAAGAGACTTCCAAAATTTCAATCTCTGAGGCTTTACTGGTTTTCACAATATGGACGAAATCCAGATGGCATACCTAGGTACTCTTCTTTCGTTTTAATTTTATTTGGTTGGTCCACGTGCGTGAATCACTGTCTGGAGGCCAAAAATAGGAATATTAGTTTGATACAATTTGAAACCCTCCTCTATTCCCCTTATACAACAGGTAGAAACGCAAGTTTTTGGGATTCAATACGTCATAACCCTTAGAATTATCGGTTCATCAGCTGTTTAAGATCTCCAGAAGTTCTGACAGTAAATACAGGATACCAGAGGTTGCAACGGAGCCTTCACTTGATACACCAGAATTGAGCAAGAAGACCTTGATGGAAAGGAAATATGAAATAACCACCTCAAAGCTCCTAAAGGGTCGCTGTTGCGAAAAAATGAAAGCCCAAAATATCCGTAAATCAACCTCTGAGATTATTTCAAAGTTATACGAAAATAAAGTGCGAATCTAAATTAATTTTGGTGGCGCTGGTGCAGTTCTAGTGACAACGCAAACACTTGTCACGTCGCATTCATAATGCCATTAGCAAAGACATTGAATCACGTAGACCATGCATCCAGCTGGGTTTTGTACAGGCGAAGCGTGACAAGTTTCTCGGAACTCCATGATGGGTGAGTGGGGAGGGGGAGAGAGCTTGTGTCCCAAGCACTCGAAGGGACTGCAGATAACAATGGAGAATTCATTCGCGCGCTCGGTTTTTCGCGAATAACTAGTTTTGAGTCCATTTTCAGACAAAATTTCTGACGACAAAAGTTGTACAGCATATAATTTTACAACCGAATTGCAAAGTTTCACTTTTCCGAACTAATTACCAACCGAGAAAAAAGCCTCACAATCCGATAAAAATTCACTGGGGCCGCTACTGCGCATGCGCACATGTGCTCAGTTGGGACACACGAACTCACCGATGCGAGGTCGGCGCTTTACATTCATTAGTCGGTACGCCATACAATTTTTTAAAAGTTGTGACGCCTTCTGTAACACAGGATGTACGGTCTGCAATCTACATGATTCAATGTCTTTGCAATTTAGGGTTAAAACATACACTTCAGGAGCTTATAGCATTAAAATCGCCTAGAGAGAGAATGGAATCAAAAAATGAATATCAATACTTATTCAGACCTCCAATTCGTTTTTATGCAGTTCTAAACATATTGAGTTTGCAACTGAAGAGTGTTTCATTAGCTTGTAGTCCGCATCTGAAAAATGTCTTACCTGGCTACGGAGCATGTTGTGGTGTTCATAGTCGACCTCCGCGAATAGCTCGTGTACCGCAATTGCGTTTACACCGGTCACGAGGCTCTTCTCAACGTGCGGGTTATTCGCGAACGTGTTCGCGAAGAGCCGCGACATAAACGTGATCAGTCGCTCGTGTTCGCGCGAGTTGCCCGCATAACGCGCGAACGCCAAGTTCACAGGTGTGTCGTAATCGTCGATAAGAACGAAGACCCTCGCGCCGTAACGTTGGTGAAGGAGTTGTGATAGAAGCCGCAAGCTATCCGCCAGCTCCGCCTCCGTCGCGTTCTGCGCACGCAGTCTGCGCAGCATCTCACGACCGCGGTCAAAGGGGTCGTTCTGCGCCTGCGCATCTTGCCACGAGTCCTGCGTATGTGCCTTGTCATGCCATGAGTCCTGCACATGCGCGTAGTCACTCCACGAGTCCTCCATCTGCGCGTAGTCACGCCACAAATTATCTCGTTCGTCTTCCGCTCTCTCCTTAAAAACGTAGGCGTAATGAGTGTAAACTTGCGCTAATTTCTGCTGAAGACTTTCCAGGATTCTGTCAAACGAGTAGCCAAACGGAATGAGCAAGGAGACATGAAGCACGGGGTGCTGGCCGAGATATTGCGAGATGACTTTATGCCAGTCCGCAATTGTCAGCCGCGTGTATTTACCGGTATTCGTCTCGCCGTGGCTGAACATTCGGTACGCGGACACGTCCGATCGCTTTTGAGAACCTGCTTTGTTCCTGTTCTTATTAGTCTCTGGTTTCCGCTTGAAGAGACGGGTTAAATCGTCCCCAATGGCGGGCTCCTCGTCTGCCTGGTGCAGAAGCTGAAGGCTGCGCGGAAAATTTGGTCGACTCGAAGGACCAGTTTTGATCCTTAACATCCTGTTGGCAGGACTGTCGACCAGCCGGTTTGACAGTAGCTTCCAGGAGGACGTGGAAAGCTTGGAAGTGAGCTTATTTAAGGGATTAGACATTGCTTGTGGTGTCAGGTTAAATAGACCGCTCCAACCACTTTCAACTCGCTTATCTGGTTTTTTTAAATCATACTTAGCTGGTTTATGGTTGAAACTTGTGTATTCAATCTGTTCAAATGTTTTGCGCTTAGAATTTTGATCAAAAAAACTATTCCCTCCGAGGTTAAATGAATCCTTTTGTTGCATCGACCAGTTAGACAGTCCAATTTTTCTTTCAGAAAGTCCCTCAATATTAATTACTTGTCCAGTCAATCGTTGTTGAGAATGATCCCAAAATACTCGTCCGTCCTCATCTCGTTTGTATTTGTTTATCTCAGGCAGCTTTTCCCCGCGATAATTACTTCTGGAGCTATTAGGTGGTTTAATGAGTTCGTACGTGGAATGCAGTAACATTCTCCCTGACTTCGCACCAGGTCCGGTTTGTTGCGCAATCTCTTCGGGTGTGATCTGAAGGAACTCCCGTATCATGTCCATGTTGAGGGATTTGCCCCAACGACGTGGGCAGGTGATGAGAACAACTTTCGTTGGGAGCTCGAGAAAGTCTTTGATGAGGAGAGTCTTATCCACGAACATAGTACTTTGCTTCATCAGATCCCGGAACGTCATCGCGTTGGTCAGCATTGTCCGATCGGTGGTTCCCTGTTTCACGCAAATATTGGCTGTAGCAAGGGAAGGGAGTAGAGAGCCCGACATGAATATTATATGTAGGATGGCCGCGGTTGGGGAATACCTAAAAAAGTCAGGGAAAAAGAATAAAACGTGGCCTAAACGTCCGGGCAAAATTACATTCATGGAAGTAGCAAATTGTTACTTGTCGCGCTAGAAAGCCTCAATTTGTTCTTTCGCTGCACACGAGAATAATTAAAATTATTATTCGTCATTGCGCACCTGCATCGTCTTAACAGTTCGGAAATTTTCTCGAAAGTCATCAAGACATACCTTATAAAGTCAGGGTATTCCAATCCGAAACTCTTCGGCCCAGCCCAGAAAATATTGAGATATTAATGTATCGGTGCGCTACTCTCAAAAAAGTACGACAAACTTTATCAGAAAGTATGGTAAATTTTGCCATTGGCCTACTTAATTATCGACACAGTGATTCTTACTGTAAGTATAGGGTACAGAAAACCAAACAATTAATGGTAGCATTTACCATACTTTTGGTGAATGCGATTAGAGTTACAGTGTTCGCGACCATAGAGTCGGTTGGCGATTAGGTACCATACTTATACCAATGTCGCTCAAACCATACTTTTTTTCTTCTTCAGAGGCACGTAATGCTCAACAGTTGGTTCCTTCATTCTGCAGAATCGGATTATTTTTAAGTGTCTCCAGGTCTGAGACATCTAAAAATATGGAGATTTGATAGTTCTTTGCATATCGTCAAGAATACATTGATTATCGACCTTAAACCTAGATTTGTTCTTGTGAAAAAGAATGGGAAATAGGAGAGACGCAGACAGAGAGAAGTAGAGATATCATTAAAATTACATTTGGTAAAACGATGAGCAACTATTTTCAGCTCATTTTAGAAATAATTATTGGGCCATTGGATAATGCAGATAGATGCCTTCATTGAGACGATATAAATAGTGTTTCTTAATTAGGTATTTCAAAATGAACTGCATTTACACATTTAAAAGATCGCATGAAAAAGTTAGGGAAGCGTCTTAGATAAAATGTGATATTTACATTTTCAATCCCAAAAATTGTTGTCCAAAGTAGTTAATGTTGACTCCGCTTTTGGCATCCGCACGATTCATCACATTTGAGAGGCTTGGAGGACAAGGCGCATATAAGTGCAGTTTTCGAAAAAATCGAGGTATTAATGATTTTAAATAAATAACTATAGTCTTAATGCATATGCTGTGAAAAATTCGCTCCCGAATCCCTAATATTAAGCGTCAAAAAGACAGTTTGAACTATCTTTCTACCATAAGGATCCATGTAATTTCGGAACTTCAAACACGTATTTCTCGAAACAGCAAAAACTGCACTTAGGTATGCACCTTGTCCTCCAAGCCCCTATCTGTAATTTTTGAATCATAATTTGAAGTATTGCCACAAAACTCAGACTTTTTTTTAAAACTCATAAGGGACATGAATGTTCGAATGTAGTAAGTAAGTGCGAATCAAGAACGTATTTTGAGGGTGACCTCAAAATAGAACTTTCACTTAAAACTTTTCATAAAAGTATAGTAGAAAGTTCTACCGCAGAAAAAGAGGTCTAATGCAATATTTTAATTACAACTGTAGCGGAATTTCGAAGAACCAAAATATCGATGCACAAAAGAACTTTAAGTGCAAATCAGGAATCTAACAGCACCCACAAATTTGAAACAAGCACGATGCCCGAAAAACTGACAAAGGAAGACAAAGTGAAGTAAAAAACTTGAGGATGCTGGATGAAAGACAATGCACCAATTTTCACGTCCTAAAATTTGATTTGAAAAAAAAAAAAAAAAGGTGTGTCATATTTAATGCTTCAGGCGTCAGGGAGGCAGTGTTGCCTTTGATTCACAAATAACAAGGAATCTATTTTTTTTAGAATTCCCTGCTCCCACTAAAAATGAAATCACTGAAACACGGATATCATAAATAATCATGGGCCATGTACAATAACGCGATTCAAATGTTTTTCTTTGCTGTAAGCTGTAACTCGAGTGTCTAGAAAGAATAGACTAGTTATTGAATCATCTGCTATGATCCCTATCTACGATCATATTCACTCTAATACATAACCCTAGTCTCCTATTTCCAATTTTCCACGTGTAACTGAATAGATAAGAGCAAGACGTTTGATTGGACGCGGTAACAAATTTCTACTGTTTTCTTTCTTTCTTTCTTTTTATCCGATTGATTTAGTTGGTTAAACACCAGTATAGTTTTTTTACCTTTTTTTTTTTTTTTTTTTTTTTTTTTTTTTTTTTTTTTTCGGAAATTAATGAATTAATCGGAAATCAAGAACCGTGCCGGATTTATAATTTTTTTGTGCATGCTGCGAGACTGATTTAGGCGCTCATGAGGACAGGTTCGCAGGAGACCCTGAGGCTAAAAAAGGACCCACGAAAAATGTTTAAAAATTTCGAGTAGTTGATATATGGCACTTTCAGTATACTGCCGTGCTAAGGAAGAACGCAGTATGAACCATCAGACGTTGCCAAATTTCCTTCGGTAAATCACGAATCCTCGGGAAAATTCGGAAATATTTTTCTTCCAATTTTTCAGATAATTTTGTTTACAATTTCACCTAAAGGTCCTAAAAATTTCAAGGAAAAATCTTCGTAGCTTTCCTCAGAAATAAACATTTTATCGGAAAAAAATTTGGCAACTCTCGAATGTTCATACGGCGTTAATCCTTAGCACAGTAGTACCTATAGGTATCGACGGTGAAACATCTCAACCACGTATCGACATGCGATGTTGTAGACTTCCTTTCATACTTCATTATTTTAAATGGAAAAGTACTCAACTATAAATTTCTTTTAGATTTTCGTGATTTTTCTTCTCTGTGCGAAAAGAATTCGTTGAAAATTTCAAGAAATGCTGTTGATTTCTGATCCTTCAGGAAAATAAAAATAGGGCGGAGATTTTAAAACACCGTGAACGAAATAGGTACGTGGTTTTTTAGTTTCACCGCCGATATTCAGTGCTTACTTGCCGTCCTTTATCCACTAAAAATTAAATGAAAAATTGAAGAAAACTAGACGGTAAAAGAATTTACAAGTTCTCTCCTCAATTGTTTTCGGTCAGCATTGGTTCTTTTTACATATTAATGGTCGCATTTGGTCAACTTTAGTTATCTATAGTATAAGCTCCGAGACCTCCTAAATGCACATATCTGGTAACGCTTAGTTTCAGCGTTCTACCGGGCCGATTTTAATGATTCTTGCGGCTATCGATGGGTGATAGGCTTCAGATGAGCCCGCTCTAATCAGATTTTGGAAATAAGACCCAGGTGTTTTTATATAACGTGGTAAAGTTGCGAATTCATCCATTTAAACAATGTACATTTTTATTTTTTATTGTCATAATTCGTTAGAGCGTTCCACTATGGGCCACCATATTTTCCACCATTATTTCACCTCGCGAAATTTCTAGCCGGAAAAACACAACATCAAAGGAATCCCCACCGCATGCAAATTCTCCATTCCATGATTTTTGAGGCTATCGTCAGGTGATAGTCCCTAGATGAGCCCGCTGTAATCAGATTTTGGAAATAGTACACGAGTTTTTTTATATAAGAGTAGACCAGGGAACTTCGATTGAGCACAGAGGAGAGTTTGATGAGCCGCCGCCGGCGGCTCTCTATGGTCCAAAACTCAAGAATAGGAAAACATAAGTTGGATAATGACTGAAAGATCCCGAAAGTTTCGTGACGGATGTTTTTGGAGTGGCTATTTTTGAATTTTATGTAAAATTGCCAACATTCTAACGCCATGGCCCTTTAATTGTGGGCAAGTTTAGGGCACGCTGCGGCGCGGCGTGCCCTGCCAGCGCTAAACGCGCACTGACGCCTACAAACCTAAGGGGATACTTCAAGCATTGCGCAATGCGTGAAGTAGCCCCTAGGGTTTGTAGGCGCCTGGGCGTGTCTCGCGCTGGCAGCACGCCGCGGCGCGGCGCTCCCGACGGGCGGATGGTGAGCGATTTCTTGCGGAGAGAGCTATCTGGCGGAGGAACTCGTATATCGTGTAAATGTTTTTTTTTTTTTTTTTTTTTTTTTTTTTTTTTTTTTAAAATTCAAATTTCCGACTTTAAAAACTGGTCGTGTGCGGTAATTAGTGAATTCTCAACGCTAGATGAAGTGTAATAATGAAAGGTGGGTTTTGCGTCTTGCACGCTGCGGACGGCGCAGCTGCAGGGCGACTCATGAAATTCTCCCCTGTGTTCGGTCGAGGGAACTTAAAAAGGGAGCATTTAAAATTCCCCTCCGATGAAAAATGGCGGGAATTTCAAATTTAGCAGAACATTGAACAAAGCGGGAAATGTTGAATTTTGGTCTGTTCGTAGGGTAAGGTAAGTGAATCTAAGGTACCCTCCTTTGGTACAGACTATCCAAAAGCGACAAAATGCTCCGTTCCGTTTCGTTTCAGTTTGAAATAAATGACATGCAGTTTTTTCTTACGATCGGTCCAATCGCTCTCGACCAGAGGGAGTTGGGGATTGGGAATGCTTTTCTTGATGATGATTTTCGGTCATGATTTATTTTTCTTTTAGAAAAATAGTATTTACACATAATTCCTTAAAAAGTGCTTTGATTTTTCTCCTTTGGGAGTTATAAAGTTAACTATTGCTTCTTTTCTTAAAAGTAAAATTTGAGCGAGAGCTCTGAGGTATCGCGATGGAAATGCGCGGTTTCACACTTTGGCCATCGATGTACACATTTCTAAATCTTAAAAGAAATACTGTAAAACTATTGTTTGAATGTTGACAGGCCAATATTGCTTTGCTGCCATTATCGGCAATATACTAGCGCCCTCACCCCCTCGCAAAGCGAATTGACACTTCTTAGCCTGAGAGCTGAGATTTCGATGAACGTAATAAGGTGGTACATGCATTATCTTATGAGTCATTCACAAAAAAATCGTCCCCCCAAGATCGGAGGATCTTTTTCTTTTGAGTCATTGCTCGGCAATGCATGTAATCCAAGCCGACAGGATATCACATTACATATTCGTCAGCCGTGGGTAGGGGTGTTCAATCGGTTGTCGGTAAGATATCGATAAAGTTCCGGCAAGAAATAGTAACGATAAGGCGGGTAATACCGATAGCGCACTCACTATCGGTAGCTTAACGGTAGCTTAACGGTAGCTTATCGGTACCTTATCGGTTGCTTAACGGTACCTTAACGGTACCTTATCGGTACCTTATCGGTACCTTATCGGTACCTTATCGGTAGCTTAACGGTAGCTTAACGGTGGCTTAACGGTAGCTTATCGGTAGCTTAACGGTAGTGAAACGACAGTGCTGTTCTCATTGGCTCTCATGCATCTACGGCTGTCTTGAAAAAAAAACTGTGTCATTTTTTGTGCACTTACGGCTTTTACATACGTCTCGTTTCATCTTGTTTTTTGTTTTGAAAGTTTGACGCATTTGTGAAAGCCATGTGCACAAAACAACAAATAAAGCTATATATTATTATTATTATTATTATTA